AGAGTTTTGGATAAGAATAAAGTGGTCACTGACTGCTCTCTGGTGAGCAAACTGTGTAATGGCGACCTCAAACACATCTAACACAACCTTTCGGGCTGCAGCTTCTTATTACTGGCGGATATAACTCACCCTCCTTTTCTTATCCATGCAGTCGTAATAAATGTTGACGAATTCTTCTGAATATCTGCATGACTGGTCGACATGCGTCCTGAAATCCTAGTGAGACAATCACAATTCACGAATGAACAAAGTCAACTAGTAAACAGGCTGCGACCGATTCGCTAGGCGCACATTGTAAACCAACCAGCCACGGTTAGCAGACATTGCGTTGGTTGCTTCACTTCAGCATGAACGTGTAGCGAAAGCTTTAAACTTACCAGCGTGCTTGCCATAAGTAAAGATGTATGAACCGGAGCAATACTGAACACGACTGTCAGACGGATAGTGGAAGATGTTTTAAAGCATCAATTCAGGTGGCGTTTCTTTTTCTTGTTCATTTAGCAGCCAACAATGCCATGTTTTTCCTTATGTATCACTTCCTCTGGGCACCCCCAGTATACCTACCAAAATAAAATGGCTTTACCTTTTGTGTAATTGAAATGACAGCCATTTATAGCGTGGTTCCGGCCCGGTGTATCACTTTCCACAACCTCTATTTGTTCAGTGATTCAAATAGAATAATAACTGGGGTCAACGATAAAAACAACTTGGTAATTCAGATTAAAATGTCGTCGATAGTGATTTATTTTGAAGGAAAGAATTTGACCCATGCGGAAGTAGAGATTATAATTTCCTGAGTCATTGCTCGTCTGGTTCAAATCTGAAACGAAACATTTCCTGAGTATCCCCTTTAAGCTCCTGTACATTTACTTTGACACTCACTGGCTGTGTTTAAAATGGAGGGTACTGTATCAAATGTGGAGGTTTGTAACTTTGCTTACACGGGGAAGTTTGAGGAATTAAAACAGAGCATCCTGTCAGATAAAACGCTTGCATGCAAAACGGACCAGGTAAGAATTCACGTTTTGAAATAAATGACAAATCCCATTTAACGCTAAACACTTTCCACGTTTTCACCCGCGTCTTTCTGTCATTTCAGGACCGTAGAACCGCCCTTCACTGGGCTTGTTCTGCTGGACACACCAACATTGTGGAGTTTCTGCTTGACCTGGGAGTTGAAGTCAATCAGCCAGATGATGTAGGCCTAATTGTTGTTACACAGATTCTTTGGTAAACAACAAGTGTAATGCAGTGTTTTTGTTCTCTAAGGTGGTGGAGGGATGACAGTTAATGCTAGATTGGTGCACAGTACAATATAATGAAGTCCTATCATTATAACAGTTATTTAAACTGTGGTTCAAAGATAGCACAGAGTAGAATTAATACCTTTCAGACATTTAGTTAGGTATTGGTGGGGCTATTTCAGTGCTCTAAGGATGTCAAATGAAAACAAACATACATCTCCAAGTCAGTTTTGTGAAATGACTAAATGTGTCCCTGCCCAGGCTTCATGGACCCCTCTTCACATTGCAGCATCTGCAGGCAGAGAAGAAATTGTGAAATCTCTAATATCCAAAGGCGCTCAGCTGAATTCAGTTAATCAGAACGGATGCACCCCTCTGCACTATGCAGCCTCCAAAGACAGATATGAGGTAAGATTCCCTGTACTGCATTCTTGTAATTATGTTTCTTCAGGTAAGCTAGCTCTATACATGTACATACATTATATTGTATTTATAATAGTGTTATATGTCCAATAATAAAGATACATACATTCTTGAGTTGTAACAAATAGTTAAAGGTCCAGTGTGTGGGATTTCATGATAAGATGTACCTTAATTATTCAATTTGACACAGCAGCAACAGCAGTTGTAGTACAAGAATAAAGTAAATACGATAAAATGAACACATTATAATGAAATACAGTAAGATAAAATGGGAATAATATGCAACAAATAGTATGTTAGAGACACAATAGGTGTGTTTGGTTTGTCCATTTTGGCCTATTGTAATAACTCGGCAGTTAAACATGGCAGACTCTGTAGAAAAGGACCCACTCCCTTTGTAGATAAAAAGTGGTAACAAAACATATATTCAGGTGATTATACACTAATGAAAACGTACATATTATATTCCATTTTTTCATATACACCCTCCTACACTCCCACTCATACACTTTCCCTTTCCATTTATGCTAACATGAAGACAGTTTGGGTATCATAACCTTGACATAAATGTCACCTTCTTCAAAATGCCCACCATTTCAGCCTCACATTTATTTTACTGCTTAACTGTGTATTTCTTTCACACCTACCACACCAGCAACAAGAAACAATATATACCTAACCATTGGTATTTGTCCTTTGCTATTAGCTGATAAACCTTATTTTAAAATTACTTATGAGTCCAGTGTGTAAAAATACTAAAGGAAGTATTAAAGTATAATAATATAAGTATAATAATATGCACTGCAATGAAGCATTTAGCACCCAGTGGTAGGAATGTAACAACATATTGTGACACAAAAACACACAAAACTAGATATCTAAAAAGTCTAAATGTATTAATTGGATGAAATAAGTCCCTTTACAGTAGTCCCTTAACCAGCCTGTCCGAAACCAACAGGACCAACAGGATCTGAAAACATGTAGGCCTATTTCAAATGGGAAGTCACTGAATTTAAAAATAGGTTACTTGTGAATTACTTGTGAGTAACACAGCTTTCCCTCTTTTATAGATTGCTCTGATGTTGTTGGAAAACGGAGCAGACCCCAATGTCACCGACAAGTTGGAGTCCACTCCCCTGCACAGAGCATCTGCCAAGGGAAACTACCGCCTCATCCAGCTGCTTCTCGAACAGAGTGCCTCAACCAACATCCAGGACTCACAGGGCAACACAGCACTGTATGTGTGAATAAGTATCTGTCTGAAACAACATTGTGGCGGCTGGTACAAGGATATAGTTGCTGTAGAATACTGTTACTGAAACAAAGAAACACAAACCCTTGAAGGGTCAGTTCACCTAAATTGAAACCATGTTTTCTCACTTACCTTTAGTTGTATCCAGCCATGCAGCTAGGTCTGGCTTTACTTGCTTTCAGTGTCTGAGATTTTTACCTCTACCATAATACAGTGAAGATGAATCGAATGTAGTATTTGGTGTTTAAAACATTGAACATTATTTACAATTTTGCTTATTTCTTTTTTTTTACCAGCCATCTGGCGTGCGATGAGGAGCGTGTGGAAGCAGCCAAAATGCTGGTGGAACATGGGGCTAGCATCTACATTGAGAACAAGGAAGAGAAGACCCCCCTTCAGTTAGCCAAGGGGAGTCTGGGCAACTTACTTCGTCGGATTGTGGAGGGATGATGCATTTACTGTGTTCCTGCTCGAATTCCCACCATTGTAAAGTTACACAAAAATGAGAATTCTCATCCCAGTCGATCCTCCTTGAGCGGCCCAGTGTGACACATTCAGATGTGCAACAGGTGGAAGATAAGACGGTGCCAGGGAGGGAGAAAGGAAAGAGAAGTTGGACTACTGCATCTTGCTTCTTAGACGGGGCAGTGAAACGGCTCCGGCCTTATATGTCTGATTTAAAAAAAATATATAACACTCTTCTGCACTAAACACAGTCTATGCCACACTGCAGCATATTTTCTATGAAGTCGGAATTGTTGCAAAGGTGACTAAATAAAATGAGTGTGTAGCTTGTCAATAAAGTATGTTTGGGATTTATTTATTTGTTGTACATGCAAGCATTTGATCCAGCAAATGTCCCATCAGTAATGCTGGCTGTTGACAAAGGTAAATTGGTCAGAAAAACACAAATTTTTCGGCATGGTGGTCATTTTTTTTACTTTCTTCTTTGCAAAAATTTGGGGGCAGTGGAAAAAACACTGACAATATCACCTTTTAAGTTGATATGGCAAGCCTGTTGTTACAGTTACGGAGCAATATAATCATTCATTAGGAGTCCTGCTTCTGGCTGCCTAGTCTTGCGATACCAAACAATCAGAGATCTCAGTGCCTTCCAATCTACTGAATGAAGTATTTAGAGAGTGGCTTGGGAGTCTACTAGCCACCTGCTGACTGTAAGTCTAGTATTCACTCTGTTTTGGTCTGTACCAACACCTGAGGGAAATATCTGGCTCTGTTGCTGCTAAATGCTCTAATATGTTCGTCAGCTAGTCTCTAGTGCGTCTGTATGCTATCTGGTGCTGAGCTGAAAAGGCACAATGGATTTTTAGAGCTTTTTTGTTTGAAACATGTAAATATCTACATCATCCTGTCACCTGCACACTGATCTTTGTGCGCATACATATATGTCCTGGCAAAACTAAAACCATTTTCTCCTGTTCACAATTATGCAGGAAGCAGCACCCATGCTTCTGACTGCATCCAAAAGATCAGACCACATTACTCCCTTCAGTGTGTAAGCCAGTTAATTTGTAAGATTTAATAACTTTTAAACCATGCACAAAGTTGTGACACATTGATGGTGAACCAGTTTCAAACCCTGGTTAAGATTTTTATTATGTAACTCAGATTCTAATTATTTAACCAAAGGTTGATTTGCATCTTATAGACAAAGCAAATAACAGAAGACACTTGAAACTATTGTCTCATCCAAAACAAATTGAGAATATTTTTGATTCATTCATTTAATTGAGAATGACTTCTGACATAAATGGCAAGAGCTTTGATTGTGTAATTCTGTGTCTTATAGGACAACAGAGACATCTGTGGCTTTCTCTGTTGGGACTGGCTGTGGTTGATATTATCAAGGTGCATTTTAACACAGTAACCATATTGAGTTTGTACCTGAACAAATTCAAGAAAGTTTTCCTTTGTTTCATTTGGACTTGTGAAATAGAACTGGTTGACCAATAGAGCAAAAAGAACTCCACAAATCTCTCAAGAGCAGTCTATTCAGTTCTTTTGAGCAAGTGCAGGATATTTTAATGCTGAGAGTGATAATGCTGTGTCCTTTAGATTTTCAATGGCATCACCATCATGATCAGAATCAGAATCAGAA